CATTAGCACAGAGAAGATTTCAGAGCACTTTGCAGCCTGCTCTTGCAGGTCCCTGGCTGCAGACCAAGGCTAAACAAGATCATCAGCTCATCACACATTAATTGCCTTTCTCTTCCTTTCCCATCAAAGTCAATCAAACCCTTTTCTCTCTCCAGGCCTGGGCAGGGGAAGCCCCACACCAAACCAGGCACAAAAAACTGACACCTTGCAGCATCCACACCTTTGGGCTTCTGGATCGTCTCCCAGGAGCTGTCAGCACACAAACCCATCTCCTACGTTCTCTACACTGTGACTGCACCTCATGCCCTCTGCCCTGGCAAACTGGAAAAGACAAGATGGAGCACAGACACCCAGACAACAAGCAGCACTGTTTCTGGGAACTGCACCCTAAAGCACAGCTCCTTCCAAAACTGGAGCTTTTCAAATCAATTCCCAAGGCCAAACGCCCTCTCTATTCCCAGTGACAGGGTTCAGAAAAAGGAACCAGGTCAATCCTGATGCTGACAGGCATCAGTGATAAAATGATGAGAAATAAGGATACAAGCTGGACCTTTGCTCCAGTGTGTGTTACTTCTTTCTAAAATGCAGCCAGGGCCTGACTTTGCTACCCAGTGACTTAGAAACAAATGCTCTCCACACATCCTCTGTTTGTGGTGCCATGTCTCTCCTAGGGTTTTTCCTGTTTCATCTACTGTAATACAAGGCTGCACTGAGAAGGTAAATATGGATTAAAGGACCTTATTTTTTAGGTTTTTACAGTCCTGGGGGCTAAGGTTTTCCCTCATGCTATCCCTCTTCTGCTGCTAGCCCCACTTCTACAGATTTCAGCAGGAATTTGGCCTGAGCAAGGAAGATGGGATTTGCTTTCTTTCTGAAAGAAAAAAGAGATGTTTGTCACTTGTTTTGGTTAAGTGGGACATTTAAGATGTTGATTTTTTTGGGGACATGTTGATTGACTATGGTTAAGTTCTGGTTTTTCCAATCTGTATTTGATGTAAATATTTCCTTGTTATACTTGCAAATCAAGAACTGAGACAGAAAATAAAATTATTCTAGTCAGATTCACTGAAGTGTATTTCTTGCTTTAGTTCCTAGCCTCAGAAATGCTAAAATCCTTCATGAAAATAACAAATGAGAGTTTGAGAAAGTTTTGGATGAGGGAAAACCCAGTGATTTATACAACAGCCTAAGACTTAGGATTCCAGAGTTCAGCTTCCAGCTTACCATAGCCTAAAATCATCTCAAGGGATCTTCCCAGGGATTTGCTGATGGGCTCAGGAACACTCCTCCATCCCAGGAAGGTGCTATGAAGGCAGATGAGATAAAGATTCTCAGGGTACTCTGGTATTCTTGTCATGGGGTTGATAAAAACCTGGGAAAAGCAGAAGGAAAGGAACTCTTTGATAGTCTCCTCCTCTGCAAACAAGCTGGGAAGGAGGGAAATTGAGAGAGAAGTTCTTCCAAACTTACTTGAGTGTAATGTTTAATTAAAAAAAAAATAAATTAGAGGCTGGATAAGTACATCTAAACAATAGCAGGCTGATACTGAATGAGAACTACAAGGATCTACACACACTATAAAGAAAAAAATCACAGAAAAGCCTCAACATGGAAATGTCTGTGAATTCACAGATAACATGAAGCACTAAGACACATTCAACCTATTAAGGGGGCCCCACTCAAACCCCAGGTGCTCAGCTAGGAAGTAGCAAGGGTCTACCATACAGACAAACAGCTCATACCTTGTCACTCTCTCCTATGAGATCAATTTTATTATTGGGTTGTCCCCGAGTCTCTTACTGAATTAGTTTGAGCTCAAAGTTTTCATTTAAAAAGCCATAACTCAAAGTGTTTCTGCAAGACAGTTTCCAAGAGGTAGGAACATCCCTACCTCGCTGGTACCATAACCTACAGTTCTTTCCTTGCTGTTCTCAGTCACTTTATCCTGGTTTTTCACACAACACAAGAGCTTAGGTCTGCATCACGCCACCTTCCTGTAACCCAGGCTGTCAGGCAACGCTCCTTCTGGTCTGGTACTGACTCCCACACAAAATCCTCTTCCAACAGATGAGGAACTGGAAGTAGAATATCTTGGGGTCTGAGGTTTTTTTGTTTGTTTCAGGGCGAGGGATTGGGGGGAGTTGTTTCTTGTTATTTTTTCCAGTAGCCTTCATTTGCACTGGAAATCAACATCTAGAAAAGAATTAAGCTCTGGGATGGCTCCTGCCTCCCTCTGCATATCTTCACATTGATCCTCCAACCCACACTCTGCAGGGCACAGGTCACTCAGCACCCAAGGGTACATCCTGCTCAGCACAACCTTCAGGACCTACCATTCATCCATGTATCCCCAACCCAGACACCAACCATCACACCACTGCCTCTGCCCCCACTATCTACTGATTCAAGCTCTGGTGGCACAGACAGACACCTTAATAAAAGAAACCAAAATTGAAATCTCATCTCTGAACATAACTGGAGCCTGCAATCACAAATCCATGAATCCAGACAGCTCCCAGCACTCTCAGCACTGCAAGGAAAGGACTGTCCCTGCAATTGCAATAGCACTGCCTGTATGGCACATTCCCTCTTCAGAGGGTGGGTTTCACTCTGAGGGCCTGGCTGTTTGCTGGGTATCAGCAAGTTATGAAAAATACAGGACCATTCACTGAACTCTGTCAGCACCTTTCATCTCCTCACTTGCTGAACAACAGCCAGGCATCACCTTCAATTTTTATCATTGTTTCTGCCTTTGCAGAAACACACAGATTTTGGTGGGCTCTGATTTTGGTTCTTTAATCTGTCAATGACCAAAGGGATGTAACACCCAAACTGCAGATTCAGCCTGGCTGCAAACTCCATATAAAGTGTCAGTAGAAATATTATTCCTCTGTCCCACTGTAACAGGTACCCTGAGTTAGCAGGAATCCTTAAAGGAATTCAATTTAAAAGCATTTCCAGCTCTCCACCGGCGGATTTTCTGAGAGATACTACATGTTCATGGACTGCTGTGCATCCTAAGATACTCAGGGGTAAAACTTACCCATCTGTATCTTCTTACATGATCTTTTCTATTTCTGAACCCCTGCAATTTAAGTAGTGTTAGAAATACACCCAATACACTGCACTGAACTGCTGTGATTCTGCCTTTGCTACACAACCAGCACAACCACCCCTGCAGAAGGTCAGAAGGCTGAGGGAACCAGAACAGGCAGCTTGGGGCATGCACCAAAATAAACATTTATTTTTTTAAGTCACTGCCTGAGATCCATGTTGCCCCAGAATGCCTCAGAATGCCCCAAAAATGAGCAACACCTCATGGACAGACATATCCAAGACACATTTGCTCGAAACCACCACACCAACTCCACCAAGGAACCCTCCAGCAGAGGCACTGACCCAGCACAGCTCCACAAAGCAACACTGACTTGCCCTCACCAGCTCTTTCTTCCACACCATTCCATGATAGGTTCATCTTCCAGTTCAGGTCAGCTGCAGCCAGCTCTGCACCTCGGATTTACACCTAAGGCTCAAGGGGGCCTGTTAAGTTTTCCATTTACAAGTAGAGAACCAGACAGAGGCGATACAAGTAGCATCACTTGATGTCTCATCCGGAGGTGTCTGGAGCACTAACCGGTGACATTGAGCTCAAGTCTGATGTTCACATTTGCTTGACGGGATTTTGAGATCCAGATCCTTGTAATGTTGTTTAACCGATGAAAAGTATTTTCTCTTTGTTTTGTCAAAACCTGCTCTATTTAAGGTGCGCATCACAACTACCACAGCCTCATGAAAGTGTGAACTTCACACTCCCCAGCAGCCTGACAGCACCTTTCCTCACTCACCAACATGCTTTGATGCCCAATCCAGCACACCCAGTTCCAAAACCATTTTCCATAACTCAGCTCTGAGTACCAGCCCCAATTGCAAATGACATCGAAGCCAACAGCACCTGCTTTCTGACAGACTAAGGAAAATAAAGGAGCTTCTTTTTCAAAGGACTCATAAAAAACAAACCACACACAAAAACAATTATCAGGAAAGCAAGGAAGAAAGATGTACATCAAATACCAGCCCAGTCCCTCACAGTCTGATGAAACTGTTGTTACTGTATGTGCAGAGCTCCAGGAAGCATCACCCATCCCCATGTACAAATGGTCACCCAGAGGCAGCACCAGGGCCCTCTCTGGTGAAGCAGACAAGAGGTTTTTGGGCAGGGCGGAAGCCCCTGTGGTTACAGGGGAGAAACACAAGTTGTTAAAACAAAATTAAAAGGAAATCATACCCTTGGGCATTGAGCACTCTCAGTGTGCTCAGCTGACTGACCACCTGCCTTGCACAAAGCAGCTCTTCAGACCAAATGCAAAGAAGAATTGACCAAAAAGGAATTGCAAAGAGAACAGTCGAGCACCTGAAGAACCCGGCTGCGTGTCAGGAATGAGTGTACTCTGAGATAAATGATACACATGGATCTATGCCATGAAACATCTGTGTCTCACTTGCTGGGTAAGATAATACTCTGGGCTCTGCCATCCACATGAGACCCCCTGAGTGTGTTCAAGAGAAGGAGGCAGAATCCCTGGCAAGAAATCCAACCAGAGACCTTCAGCCAAAGCACGAGGCTTGTCTGTGACTTCTGTGGAGCTGGAGCTGCTGTGGACCCCCAGAGGGCTGGGGGACAGCAGGTTGGGGTGTCTGATCCTACCTCAGGCGTGAGCAGCAGCACTCTGGGTCTCTAGGGAAGACATCAAAGCAAAATCCTTGAGGCACCATTTAGAAATGATCAGGAAAAATGAGCCAAACTGCACACTAGAACTGAATTTCTTCAGGATTTCTTTCCTCTGCATTTTGCCGCAGATGCCGAGCATCCCCTCTTTACCCAAGAGGGTCCTGATGACATCACATCCTCCCCAAAGTGTGACCCAGCCTCCCAAGTTGAGATAGAAACATCGTCTCAGCTGCACTGCACCGTCTCCAAGGACAGACACCCCCAGTAGAAGATGGACTGGTCTCCTGCCCTGCTCCTCCTGCTCGCTCTGGGACTCTGTGAGTATGGACACAGGGTGGTGCAGCCCCATCACCCAGAGGGACAAGGAAAAACCTTCCACTGAATACAAGAAATTGGGTTAAATAGTCAAAGCGTGGGAAATAGCAAATAAAAAGGTCGACTTTGAGATGTGGTCAGTAACTGTGGAGGGAAAGGCGGCATCGCCTCAGCCGGTGTAGGGCAGCCAGAGGGGTGGTTGCAGCACCACAAGCACCAGGAAGGGAGCCTGGTCATACAGGTGGTTATGGAGGGGAGGGAGGAGACAATAAAGAGCATTTAGCAGTCAGTGCTTTAGGTAGTCACTTCAGATAAGCTGGGAAGGGATAACATCCCTGAGAAGGCAGCTGGAAGGGCAGCAACCATCTGTAAAACCCACATGGCTGATTGATGAGCACCCTCCATGCACAATCCCAGCAAGGACTCCAACAAAGCCTTCCAGTCATCCAGACACCATGGTCCTCCTTTGCATTTGACCTCACAGACTGAGAACAGGAAACCAGGTTTGCTCAGAGGGGCCACTGGCTCTTTCCAAGAGGTTCCAACAAGGATTTCTCTCCTCCAGGCTGCCCCGGGATCCCTGGCCAGATGTATGAGATGAAGATCAGGTTTCGCAACAGCATCACCCAGCTCCGGGTGGGACAGCGGCTGGAACTGGAGTGTCAGACTGACAAGAAGGACAGTGGCATGTTCTGGGTCCGCCAGGACAAGAATGGGACCCTTCACTTCATTGTCTTCATCTCTTCCCTATCCCGAGCCACCTTCAAGGGGAGTCAGAGAACATCCACACGCTTCGAGGCCAGCAAAGGCAACACTATCTATCGGTTGGTAGTGAAGTCTTTCACACAGGAGGATGAAGGGAACTATTTCTGCCTCGCAAACATCAACCAAATGCTGTACTTCAGCCCTGGCCTGCCTGCCTTCTTCCCAGGTCAGCAACACCTACTCCCAACCTCTTTAAGCTCTGCCAAAATCCCCAGCACCTCCTGCCTGTGCCTTTTTTAACCAGCTGTCTCTCCCACAAACTCCATTTCCCTGCTTGCTTGCCCAAGGCCTCTTGGGACCAACCCACTGGTCCTCCTGCCAGAAGCTCCCTGCTTGCCATCTCTCCTCATGGTATTGCTCCTGCCCAAAGGCAAAGATGATTGGGGAGACCCAGCATCATTTCCCCATCCCCACTTTTCAATCCCATCCATGGCTCTGAAGGGAGAAGAGTAAAGCGAAGTCCAGCACTACCCTCTCCTTCCTCACCTCACATAGGTCCTAAAACTCAGTGTTCAGTCTTTCTGAGGATGGTGGCAGACAGCAAGACATAAGAAGCCTACAGCTCCTCACTGGTTCTTGGGATACCCTCCCTGGGGGAATCCCCGTTCAAAAGGGGCTCTATGAAGCCCTAATATGTGTACAGAAAAAACTATAACCTGGGCAGGGGTGGGAGAACTGAAGGGCCGGAGAGACCTGTTTTACTGCATTTCCCTACTTGCTGAATTCATCCATTTTCACTTTTAGTCATCACCACACCAGGACCCACCACTCAACATGGCATCACTGGAAAGGACTCCGACGTCAGGACCCCAGATCCAGGTAGCCTGGGTACAGGGAGGGAGAGGGAGGCAGCTGGGTTCTGGCCCATTGATACCACTGAAACCTGCAGGCATTTTGGGGTGGGAGGAGAGTGAAAATCCACAGAGCTTTATCAGAGTTGGAAGGATTAAACTCCAGTGTTTCATCCCACACAGGAAAGGCTTAGGATGAGGTAAAAAGCACGAGCATGTCTCATGCCTGGGCATGCCCAGAAGAGGGGGAGGGAGGGCAGAGCCTTGGGGGCTGAGGGTGGTTTTAGCCTCATCAGGGAAAAGAGAAAATTTTTGGCTACCTGTCCTCCTTCAAGTCTCTGGAAAATGGTGAGAGTGGCAGCCCAGAGGAAGACCCCTGCCTCACCACCAGCCTCATGGAACACCAGGCATGGCCCTTGGCAGCTCCTTTGGCTCCACCAGAACTGGTCGTGACACCAGCCCTGAGCACCTGCTGGACCTTTCCCCTTCTCCATTCATGCTCAAAGGTTGGACTCAATGATCTTGGAGGTCTTTTACAAACTTGACGTTTCTGTGCTTTTTTGACCTTTACCCTTCTCTATTCCTTCAGAGTCCAGCACGGAGAAGGACCTGAATTCCTTCTGTGATGGTGTCATCTGGGTTCCCTTGGCAGGTGCCTGCCTCCTGCTCCTCATCGCCCTGGCCATCACCATCCTGCAGTGCCCAAGACTCACCACAATCCCTATAGATGCACTTCCAGCCTCAAACCACAGCCCTGTCCCTCAGAGGGATGGATGTTCTGCCTGCTTTGTGAGGCATGAGATAACCAGGACACAGTCAGTGCAAGAGAAGGACTACTGTTAGAATCACTGTCTGTATTTTCCTCATCAGTAGGCTTAGGCTGAAAAATAATTAACAACTTAGAATCATAGAATCAGAAATGTGTTTAGGTTGAAAAAGACCTTCAAGGAAGAAAAATTGATTAGAAACAGACAGAACTTACTGTATGAACTGTCTTGGCTCTACTATCTTTAAATTGGTGTGTCAGAGATTAATGTACCAGGGCCTGAAACATTCTGACACATCAGGGTAAATATGCTCCAGCATATGCTGAGACTCCCAGTAGCAGCTTGAGCTGTAACTAAAAAAGTAACTTCATTACACAGGTTCAGAGACTGCCACAGTTTAAGCAGGAATGCAGGTCAGCAAAAGTCCTTTGGTGAAATTTTGTGTTTGAAATGAAGTTGAACTACCCTGAGCAAGCAATGAGTGCAAATGGATGCAACTCAGTTTAGCTCACTGAAATCAGTTCAACTCTCCAGTACCCCCAGAAGTTATGACTTCATTAATCCAGCTCTGCTCATTTGCCTGAACACCAGCAGTTCTGCTGCTGAATTAACCTAACTAGATCCTCCCTGACCCTGCAGCCTGGAGCTGATGCCAGATGAATTTACCAGCTGACCCAGCTAGAAAAGTACCATTTGTCATCATCCTTCAGCCCTGAAAAATGCTAATCTCCACACTCTGCAGAGATAGGAAGGAATGCATGAAAAAGCATTAAGGAGACACAGCCAAAAATCATTCTCCTCGGGGGAAGTAGCTGATGATGCAGCAGAGTGCCTGGACTTGGTCCAAATTCCCTCTGAAGTCATCAGGAGCCAAAAGCCCTCCACATACAGTGGCATTCCCTGGTGACCTGCAACACACAACCTACAAACACCCCTCAGTGATTTATTTCTGCCTTTTAACACTGATGTAAAATGATCAGTGAAAAGCCATCAGCTGCAGTTAATTTCTGCAGCAGCCTAAGACCTAAAGGACAGATTAATACCTTGGGCTAAAATTAATGGCAGAACACTGTATTTTGCTGGACACATCCCAAAGTAACAACAGAGATGCGAAAATGGGGAAGAGCATTGTTCAACTTGGTTGCATGTGGAGTGGCACCATTGCCACTCACCTCTTGTAGAAACAATTGCTGCTGAGGGATTTTCAGCAATGTGCCAAAGTTAACAAATAATTCACCCTCGGGGTTCCCAGGCTGACCCTGCTACTGCTACTCACCTCACACTTTAATTCATCAAAATGTTTAAGTGGAATATTGAGGTAACATGAGCTGCAGCACCACTCCCTGGCAGGGATTTGCTTAAAAATAAACTTGGTTTGTCCGTGGTTAATTTTAAAGATATCAGCTGCTGGGGAACACCAGACCCACCTTGCTGCAGTGTTTCTTTACTGAGCTGTGACTTGGTAGCTTTGAACTAAAACATTTTCTTTCTTGTTTTAGAAACCAGAAGACGAAGGTGCAGGTGTAAAAGGTTAGTAAGTGACAGGCATTGGCAATTTTCTCTTAAACTTGGCACCCTCAGGCAACAAAGCAGGAAGGTGCCCAAAAGCAACCTAAAAATTCTTCATCCAACAGCCGGTGGATGGGAGGGGTCTGTGAAATTACTTAAGGGCAAAAATGAGACAGAAGATTCTCTTGTCCTGTGTTTTTGGGTTTGTTTGCAGTTTTTGTTTGGGGGTTTTTTATGATTAATTAATTCAAATCACTGGGCCCTGACACACCAGTAGATATAAAACATAAAGACAGGTGGTGCTTGTGGCAGACCAAAAAAATCACCACGGCTTCAGGCCTCTATTTCCCCTACAGGCACTAAGGAACAGCAGCAGAGAGGCTGCTGCAAACTTGGATGACTTTCCTGAGAAACAGCACTGCAGACAGGAATAGATTTAGAGGCAACCCAGTTTCTAGGGCACACGAAGATCTTTCTTTTATGCTTTCCCTCCTGCCACCCCAACCCACCCATCATCCTGAGTCACAAGGAAAACTCCATCACAAGGAGAATTGCAATTTGCCAGTTTGGAAAAAGAAATGCTTTTGCCCACGTGCATTATCCTTCTGCAAAAAGACCTCCTTGCAGCCAGTTTCTTCACCTCCCCTGCTCTGCAGAAAACCACTTCTGCAGCTTTGCAAGCCTTGGGCACTCTGGGGCTTGTGGCCAGAGAGCCACTAAGAAATCATTGCTACTGCTCCAGGCAGCCAGTGCTGGGCTAGTGCTTGGAAAAGATGGGTAGCCAAGAAAGTTTTGGACAGCATGTTCACAGCTCTGGAGCCTCATTCTTTGCAAATCAGAGCATCTTTTAAATCAGATAAATTCATGTTCTTTGTTATACATCCATGGGGCTTATAGTAAGAAAGGTAATTGTCTTTCAGTTGTCTAAATTAATACAATCTCTCACAGAAAGACCACCCTCCCCTACAGTAGTAGATCCCTACAATTTTTTAAGGCAGAATGCATTTTTTTTACCCATCTGAAAAAGGGAACAGTCTGTCAGTTTTACAATGGATATTTATTATAGCCAGTACTCTTCTGATCCCTGTCTGCCTTTCCAAGGGAGAAATGATAATGAAAAGCTCTCCATGCTGCCTTGTTTAGGATGATGTTTGCATTCTTCACTTATCTCAACCCCTGTTGCTAGCCCTGGACAGGGATGTTCTGTCCCTACAGAGAAAAAATATCTGCCCAGCTCTTCAGTTTTGCACCAAAGGAGTGGTTGGGTTACAAGGACCTCAGGAAATCACCTCCTCAAGGACACCTTTCCTTCAGCTGCACTAACATGACATGGTTTAAGAAATTGTAGCATATTTCAGTTTTTATTTAGAGAGGAAATTTCTGCTGCTCTGAGCAACTCCCAATTATTGAAATGAAGCTCTTTAGAAGTTAATAGTGCAATTCACAGCATGAAAGAGCACCTAAGGATCTGGCCTGGGATTCTTGCTGGCAGCAGAATGATTCATTTTCCACCACAAATTAATCTTCAGTAAAGAAGGGTGCCAAATCTCCAATTTGTTAGATCAGCATAAAACTCTCAGGTCCTGGAGACCAGTAATTTCTATCATTTTGGGTGCACTCTGCCTGTCTAGAAAGCCTCCTTTCAAACTCCTCTGCAGGAGACAGGTTGCAATAAGAAAAAGTCTCTAGGAATTGATAACAGCTTGTCCAACTCCAAAAAAAACCCACAAACGAGGTCTTCTTTATTTATTCATTTCTGAATGTGGAGAAAGGCTTGATGAGAGGACAGGAGTGAGCAGAAGTCAGAGGTAAATTGAACCTTCTCCCTTTTTTTAAATTAGTGCAAGAACTCATCATCAGTGTATCTTAAAAACATCCTTCTGCTGGCTGTCACTACCTGAAATGTTGGCAGATCCTTCACTAGCACAAAGATGATTTCAGAACATTTTGCAGTCTCCTCTTGCAGGTCCCTGGCTGCAGACCAAGGCTAAACAAGATCATCAGCTCATCACACATTAATTGCCTTTCTCTTCCTTTCCCATCAAAGTCAATCAAACCCTTTTCTCTCTCCAGGCCTGGGCAGGGGAAGCCCCACACCAAACCAGGCACAAAAAACTGACACCTTGCAGCATCCACACCTTTGGGCTTCTGGATCGTCTCCCGGGAGCTGTCAGCACACAAACCCATCTCCTACGTTCTCTACACTGTGACTGCACCTCATGCACTCTGCCCTGGCAAACTGGAAAAGACAAGATGGAGCACAGACACCCAGACAACAAGCAGCACTGCTTCTGGGAACTGCACCCTAAAGCACAGCTCCTTCCAAAACTGGAGCTTTTCAAATCAATTCCTAAGGCCCAGTGCCCTCTATTCCCAGTGGCAGGGTTCAGAAAAAGGAACCAGGTCAATCCTGATGCTGACAGGCATCAGTGACAAGCAGATGAGGAATAAGGAATAAATCTCTACTCAAGGGCGTGTGCTACTTCTTTCTAAAATGCAGCCAGGCTTTGAATTCACTACAAAGTGACTTGGAAATAAATGCTCTCACTTAATACATCCTCTGTCTGTGGTGCCACCTCTCTCCTAGGATTTGTACTCTTGTCTAACCTATTACAAGGCTGGACTGAAAAAGTAAATATGGATTAAAGGGCCTTACTTCTTGTCTTTTTACAGTTCTGTGGGTAATGTTTTGTTTCCCTCATGCTATTCCTCTTCTGATCTTATCCCCAATTCCGCCGATTTCAGCAGGAGTTTGGCCTGAGCAAGGAAGGTGGGATTTGTTTGTTTCTAAAAGAAATGGATGAGGGGTAACAAAAATAGTCTTTGTCGATTGTTTTGGTTAACAATAAAGGGACTTTTAACATGTTGATTATTTAGGGACATGTTGATTGACTGTAGTAAATTCTGTTTATTCAGATCTGCAAGCTCCAGGAAGTATCACCCATCCCCATGTGCAAATGGTCACCCAGAGGCAGCACCGGGGCCCTCTCTGGTGAAGCAGACAAGGGGTTTTGGGGCAGGGCGGAAGCCCCTGTGGTTACAGGGGAGAAACACAAGTTGTTAAAACAAAATTAAAAGGAAATCATACCCTTGGGCATTGAGCACTCTCAGTGTGCTCAGCTGACTGACCACCTGCCTTGCACAAAGCAGCTCTTCAGAACAAATGCAAAGAAGAATTGACCAAAAAGGAACTGCAAAGAGAACAATCGAGCACCTGAAGAACCCGGCTGCGTGTCAGGAAAGGCATCTTGGGACCAACCCACTAATACTCCTGCCAGAGGCTTACTTCTTGCTGTCTCTCCTCATGGTATTGCTCCTGCCCAAAGGCAACGATGACTGGGGAGACCCATCCTCACTTCTCCATCCCATCCATGGCTCTGACAGGAGAAGATGAAAGTAAAGTCCACCACTACCCCATCCTTTCCCCTAAACATTGCTCCCAGAAGCCCTACAACATCAGGGTGCTCAGGCTTTCTGAGGAGGGTGGCAGACAGAAAGAAATAAGGACTCTGCCGTTCCTTACCAGCTCTTGGGAGACCCTCCTTGGGGGAGTCACCATCCAAAAGGGGCTCTATGAATTCCACATGGATCTGAGCTCTCTGCTGTGAACAGGAGCAGACAAACCCTGGCAGGGCTGGGAGAGCAGAAAGGGCAGGAGAGAACTATTTCACTGTATTTGCTTACATGTTGAATTTTCATTTACAGTCATCACCACACCAGGACTCATCACCCAGCACAGCATCACTGAAAAGGACCCCTGCATCAAGACTCCAGATCCAGGTACCCTGGATATAGGGAAGGACAGGGAAAGAGCTGGGATCTGGCCCACTGATACATAGGGGGATCCTGAAAGCATTTTAGAATGGGGAGAGAGTGAAAATCCATAGAGATTTACCAGAGCTAGAAAGATTAAACTTCAGTTTTTCATCCCAAGTAGGAAAGGCTAAGGATGAGGAAAAAAGCATGAGCGTGTCTTATGCCTGGGCACACAGGGAAGTGGGGGGAGAGGAATTTTACTCTTGGTGGGAGACATGTGAAAACTTTTGGCTACGTGTCCTCCCTCAAGTGCCCAGGAAAATGCTGAGAGCAGCAGCACTAAGGAAGAACATCCCCACAGGCACAGGGGAAGCCCTCTGCCTCACCACCAGCCTTGTGGAATGCCAGGCAGGGCACTTGGCAGCTCCCTTGGCTAAAACACAACTGGCCTTAACACTAGCCCCGAGCACCTGATGGATCTTTCCCCTTCTCTATTCCTACAGAGACAACAATGCAGGAAGAGCTGAATTCCTTCTGTCACATCTTCATCTGGGCCCCCTTGACAGGCCTCTGCCTCCTGATCCTCCAGCTCCTGACGATCACCATCGTGCTGTGTCAACGTAAGACTCACCAGAACCCCTCTAGATCCACCTCTGACCTGAAACCACAGCCCTGTCCCTCAGGGCCACGGATGTTCCAGTGATCTGCTTTGGGAGGCATCAGAGAACCAGGACACAGGCAAGACAAGACAAGGACCACTGTTAAAATCACTGTCTGCATATCTTCCAACAAATTGCCTCCACATTTCCTCAGTGACCTTCCCTTCTCATTCCAGCTCTTTCAAATGGTTTTGTAGCAAGAAGGTGCAATGATCTGACTGCAGGCATCAGGGGTTGTTTCCCCACCAAATGGCCTCATGTTATCCCTGGGAAGCATTTCCTTGAAAATGTGTTATCTCTATTGAGTGGAGCTGAATGTGAACTGTTACACAAAACAAAATTAAATGAATACCAAGCAGCAGCGTTTTTCTATATTTCTGTACTCCCTGTAAACTTTGTTATACTTTCAAATTAATTTATTCTTTCATGATCCACGGACTGAACATTTATTGCTAGACCTATTGCTATGAGAGCCTATAGATGTCAATCCTGTAAGGAAAAACAGGACAAATGTATAGCAAAGTCCTCACTACTGCATGGAATCCTAATGTGGGATAAACAGAGCAAAACAAAACTCTAAGACATGTAAAATACACATATTTGGGCATTATTAACTGACATTAATGATAGTGATGCTCCACTGTGCATTGCTGCACTAAGATCACACTCCTGCAGCAAGAGCAATGCAGCCAAAACCCTCCTGACACTGCAGATGAATGTAGGGATGAACTGGAAGCACAGTATCTTTGGGTTTGGGGGTGATTTTGTTTGTTTTGTGGGGTTCAATTGTTGTTATTTCAGTAGTCTTCATTTGTACAAAAAATCAGCACCTAGGAAAAGAATTACACTACTGAGTTGTAAGCTCAAAAACCACTGCATGGTGGAATCTACTGATTTTTGATCAGTAGTTCAGAAACACAGAACACAGCTGCTCTCTTTCCAGCCCAATGCCAAACCCAGGAGGCTCTGGGATGGCTCCTGCCTCCCTCAATGCATCTTCACACTGATCATCCAACCCACTCTCCACAGGGCACAGGGCACACAGCACCAGAGAACTTCACACATCTCAGCTAACATCACCTTTCCTCACTCACCAACATGCTGCGAGGCCCAAATAAATAAACCCAGTTCCTAAACCATTTTCCATAACTCAGCTCTGAGTAGCAGCCCCAAGAGCAAATTGCATTGAAATCAGCAGCAGGAGCTTTCTCACACACTCAGGAAAAAGGGGCTTTCTTTGCAAAGGAGGAGTTAAAAAAAAAAAAAAGAAAGAAAAAACACACAGAAAAATAACAACAGAAAAGTCTGTATGTGCAAAGCTCCAGGAAGCATCACTCATGTGCAAGTGGTCACTCAGAGGCAGCAGCAAGGGCCCTCTCTGGTGAAGCAGACAAGGGGTTTTCTTGGCAGGGCGGAAGCTCCTGTGGTTAGAGAAGTTGTTACAAGATGTTAAAACAAAGAAAAAGCAAATCATCCACCTGGGCATTGGGCACTCTCAGTGTGTTCAGCTCATGACCACCTGCCTTGCACAAAGCAGCTTTTCCTGAGCAATTGAAGAGAGAACAATCGAGAACCTGAAGAACCCGGCTGTGTGTCAGGAATGAGTGTACTCTGAGATAAATGATACATGTGGATCTATGCCATGAAACACTTGTGTCTCACTTTCTGGGTAAGATAATACTCTGGACTCTGCCATCCACACGAGACTCCCTAAGTGTGCTCAAAAGAAGGAGGCAGAATCCCTGGCAAGAAACACAACCTGGGGCCTTCAGCCAAAGCACGAGGCTTGTCTGTGACTTCTGTGGAGCTGGAGCTGCTGTGGACCCCCAGAGGGATGGGGGACAGCAGGCTGGGGTGTCTGATCCTACCTCAGACATGAGCAGTCAGGAGCTCTAGGGGAGTCATCGAGGCAAATTCCTTCAGGCACAATTAAGAACTGATAAGGAAATATGACCCCAACTGAGGACTAGAACTGAACTTCTTCAGGAATTTTCTTTTCCTCTGCATTTTGCCGCAGATGCCGAGCACCGTCTCTTTGCCCAAGAGGGTCTTGATGACATCACATCCTCCCCAAAGTGTGACCCAGCCTCCCAAGTCAAGTGACAAAGATCATCTCAGCTGCACTGCACCGTCTCCAAGGACAGACACCCCCAGTAGAAGATGGACGGGTCTCCTGCCCTGCTCCTCCTGCTCGCTCTGGGACTCTGTGAGTATGGACACAGGGTGGTGCAGCTCCTTCACTGGGAGAAGCAAGGAAAAATCCTTCCACTGAATCCAACAAATTTGGATAAACAGTTGAAGGGGAAAAAAGAGCAAACCAAAAAGTCTGACTTTGAGGTGTGCTCAGAAATTGCAGAAGGAAAGGTGGCATCACCTCAGCCAGCACAGGGCAGCCATGAGCACCGGGAAGGGAGCCTGGTTGGACAAGGAGTTCAAGAGAGCAGAAGAAGGTCAGGAAAAAAGGGGACTTAGCAGTAACTGGGTTTAGGGAGTCAATTCAGACAAGCTGGGAAGGAGTAACATCCCTGAGAAGGCAGCTGGAAGGGCAGCAACCATCTGTAAAGCTCACATGGCTGATTGCTGAGCACCCTCCATGCACGATCCCAGCAAGGACTCCAACAAAACCTTCCAGTCATCCAGACACCATGGTCCTCCTTTGCATTTGTATTTTCATCCCATGGACAGAGCAGGAGTTTTTTCCCAAAGGGACCATTGGCTCTTCCCAAGTGGTTCCAACAAGGATTTCTCTCCTCCAGGCTGTCCCAGAATCCATGGCCAGATGTATGAGATGAAGGTCAGGTTTCGTGACAGCATCACCCAGCTCCGGGTGGGACAGCGGCTGGAACTGGAGTGTCAGTCTGACAGTGACAGTGGAGTATCCTGGGTCCACCAGGACAAGAATGGGACCCTTCACTTCATTGTCTTCATCTCTTCCCTGTCCCAAGGGGACACCTTCAAGGGGAATCAGAGAACATCCACACGCTTTGAGGCCAGCAAAGACAACACTATCTATCGGTTGGTAGTGAAGTCTTTCACACAGGAGGATGAAGGGAATTATTTTTGCCTCACGAACATCAACCAAATGTTGTACTTCAGCCCTGGCCTGCCTGCCTTCTTCCCAGGTCAGCAACACCTCCACCACTCAACCTCTTTTAGCTCTGCCAAAATCCCCAGCACCTCCTGCCTGTGCTGTTTTAACCAGCTGTCTCTCCCACAAACCCCATTTCCCTGCTTGCTTGCCCAAGGCATCTTGGGACCAACACACTCGTGCTCCTGCCAGAGGCTCCCAGCTTGCTGTCTCCATGGTATTGCTCCTGCCCAAAGGCAAAGATGATTAGATAGACCCAGCACCAACTCCCTATCCCCATTTCTTAATTTCATCCATGCCTCTGAAATCAGAAGACTAAAGCAAAGTCCACCACCTCTCTCTCCTTCCTCACCACACATAGGTCCCGAAACTCAGTGTTCAGTCTTTCTGAGGATGGTGGCAGACAGCAAGACATAAGGAGGCTGTAGCTCCTTACTAGATCTTAGGAGACCCTCCCTTGGGGAGTCCTCATCCAAAATGTGCTCTATGAAGTCCCTCCAGAGCTGAGCCCTATGCTGTGCACAGGAACAGCTGTGCCCTGGGCAGGGACAGGAGAATAGAAGGTCAGGAGAGACCTGTTTTATTGTGTTTCCCCACATGCTGAATTAATCCATTTTCATTCACAGTCACTACCACAGTGGCACCAAGCACACCAGGACCCACCACCCAGCGTGGCATCACTGAAAAGGACCCCTGCCTCAAGACCTTGGATCCAGGTAGCCTGGATACACAGAGGGAGAGGGGAGGAGTTGGGGTTGCATCCACTGATACTGAGGGGGATCTTGCAAGCATTTTGGGATGGGAGGAGATTGAAAATCCACAACACTTCAGCAGATTTGGAAACATTAAATACCACATAGTTTCATCTCAAGTAGGAAAGGCCCAGGATGAGGTACAAACCAGGAGTATGTTTCACACCTGGGCACACTTGGAGGAGGGGGAGAGGGGGAAGAGCCTTGCGAGCTCCAGCAGGTTTTACCCTCTTCAGGAGACACAAGAAAATATTTGGCTACATGTCCTCCCTCGAGTGCCCAGGAAAATGCTGGAAGCAGCAGCACTAAGGAAGAACATCCCCACAGGCACAGGGGAAGCCTTCTGCCTCACCACCAGCCTTGTGGAATGCCAGGCAGGGCACTTGGCAGCTCCCTTGGCTAAAACACAACTGGCCTTAACACTAGCCCCGAGCACCTGATGGATCTTTCCCCTTCTCTATTCTACAGAGACAACAATGGAGGAAGAGCTGAATTCCTTCTGTCACATCTTCATCTGGGCCCCCTTGACAGGCCTCTGCCTCCTGATCCTCCAGCTCCTGATGATCACCATCATGCTGTGTCAACGTAAGACTCACCAGAACCCCTCTAGATCCACCTCTGACCTGAAACCACAGCCCTGTCCCTCAGGGCCACGGATGTTCCAGTGATCTGCTTTGGGAGGCATCAGAGAACCAGGACACAGGCAAGGCAAGACAAGGACCACTGTTAAAATCACTGTCTGCATATCTTCCAACAAATTGCCTCCACATTTCCTCAGTGACCTTCCCTTCTCATTCCAGCTCTTTCAAATGGTTTTGTAGCAAGAAGGTGCAATGATCTGACTGCAGGCATCAGGGGTTGTTTCCCCACCAAATGGCCTCATGTTATCCCTGGGAAGCATTTCCTTGAAAATGTGTTATCTCTATTGAGTGGAGCTGAATGTGAACTGTTACACAAAACAAAATTAAATGAATACCAAGCAGCAGCGTTTTTCTATATTTCTGTACTCCCTGTAAACTTTGTTATACTTTCAAATTAATTTATTCTTTCATGATCCACGGACTGAACATTTATTGCTAGACCTATTGCTATGAGAGCCTATAGATGTCAATCCTGTAAGGAAAAACAGGACAAATGTATAGCAAAGTCCTCACTACTGCATGGAATCCTAATGTGGGATAAACAGAGCAAAACAAAACTCTAA